TTTTTTCTTTTTTGTTTTTTTTATTCTTGGATTTATGGCTGTCACTGGAGCTGAGAGCCAGCTTTAGCTGTGAGACCTTGTTGCTGAAAGCAGGTTTCTGGCTTTATTATCTGTATTTGAAACTTTGTTGCGACTCAAGCTCTGAGATCCCTGCTGACTGAAAAGAGGTTTCTGGGGTTTTGTTTAGCTTCTATATTTGTAACAATGTTTCTTAGCAGCTCAGAGCCCAGCAGTGGCAGGTGGGGAACATTGGAGTCCTCCATCACTGAAGCAAGCAAGTCTCATGTTAGTTTCAAGCTGCCTGGCTGCCAGCCGCCATCTTGGCTGTCAGTTAATTTGCATATCTCGCTGATTAGCCAATGGGAAGGGTAGCAGTCGTACGCCAATTACCATGTTTCTCTGTTATTAGATAGGATTATAATGCAAATAGGCTTACATTAAAATCAGACTCCCTCTCCTATAAATAGAGTCTATGCAGAAGAAAAAAACAACCCAACAATAAATTGGAAGATGTCTCAAAGTACACCCAGAAAACTCCTATGCAAACAACAGGGAGTTGGGCATTGATCTTAAGAACCAATTCTCTCAATAACCACTGTGACTCTCTATGTAGTTCATTAAATGGGGATATTTTATTTTTTTTGAGAAAAAAAAATCTATATTACTTTAGTGGTATTTAAGTTAAGTATTTCCCAAAAAAGCTAGAAACTCAGCTGGTGCTATGGGAAGAAAGAAGCAAAAACTGAAGCTTAGTGGTAAACTCCATAAGGAGGAAACTGAGATGTCTTCAATACTACAAAATTTAACAGAGTGCATAAAGTAGCAACTTGATTGTTTTGGATTTTGCCTGGTGTTTAAAGAGTGTTTCGGAGAAGCAAAACAACTTTACAGATCAAGATTCAAATACTGTTTACTTATACGGTAAAAACCTTGGGCTGGTTATGTAATGTCTTTGAGCTTCCGGTTCCTCATCTATAAAATGAGGTAGATATTGTGAAGATTAAATTAGGTAAGTCAAGGGCCAAAGAAAACATCTGTCATTCAATAAGAGGAAGTTCAGGAAATGGAGCCTATTATATCGGCATCATCAGAGATAGTGAATTCTTACAATTAGTTATTTTTTATTAAGTGTTTCTACTAGTCAGGTCCCACTAAGTCACTGATTATCACAGATCCAGTCACTTTTGTAGCATAAAATCTGTACTGGAATATGCAATCACTACTTCCTCTTATGAATGTCTGGAAATGTTTCCTGGAAAGGAACTGCAACATAATCAACAGGTCACGACATTTCTATAACTCTTCTAACCTTCTATGTCCAACTGAGGGTGAACAAGCTTCATATAGACATGGGCCTGAGTGAAAGGGAAATCAGTTTGTCTAAATTGTTTAATAAGCTCCACCACTCCGAACTTCTTTCAGTTGAATGTCCAGGATTAGAAAGCAAAGTACAATTCTATTGAAAGTCATGTAATTATAGTTTATGAAGATAGAAGAAACATCAACGTATCACCATCAAGAAAGACAGGAGGGTAGAATAGTGAATCGAAGTATAGCCAATCAAAATCTAAACAACATAATAATATGAAGATTTAAAATATTGCATGCCCAAAACTAAACTATTTTCCTATTATTTGAGTCACTCTAGTAAAAGCTTTTTGTCAAATCCACCTGTAAGAAAGGTGGATATTTCTTTTCTAAATTATAGAACTGTTATAGCTTTAACGTTCCATGTAAGGAACAAACCAGTTGAAGTACAAAGAATCCTGTTTTAATCCCAGATACGGTCAGAATTTTAGTTCTGGCTGTCAGCAGCAGCTCACCAAGTGACCTTTAACAAGTCACTTTCCAAATCAGAAACTCAACCTATAAAGAAATAGTCCAAAATTGCTTTAAGAATACATCAAACTCAAATATAAAGTCGTATGAAATATAGCTGCTTATATCTCTTTGATAGAAACATATCATCTAAAATGTGATAGTCACAGCCTATATGAAAAACTATCCATATAGGATGACTGTTGTGTTAACTTTCTCTGGCACCAAATATTGCTTACTTCATTGTTGTTGCTGATTTTACTATTTATAACACAAAAAAATGGTTAACATCTGCTTTTATCCATCTGTCAGTAGCTTTAACCCTCATAAATCTTAAAATAGCTTTTCATTTAATCTGATGTTTTATAAAAAGGTAGACTTTTCCTGTTTTCAGCTAGCAGTTCTCACAGAGCGTTCAGTATCAGAATAAAAGGAGACCATGTTATCAGTCACTTACTGTCTAGTCTAGTGAATACAAATGTAGCCTGTGCCATTTACTAAAAGGTTTACCTGGGGTCAGATGATGAGAGTACAACCTGGGAAGGTAAACACCTTCTATATGGTAAACACTTTCTATATTCAGAAAGTTTCCTGAAGATTGCCAAATTACTTATGTTTAACTAGAATGTGTTCTAAATGCCTTGGGTGTATGTACTACTATTGAAACTGGCTTAGGTACATCCTACAGTATACTTGGTTTTCATGTGAGTCTCCTGCAGAGGAAGTGAAAGAAAATCAGGAGCAGCCTGCATCTAAACAGGAAGACAAGCTGACCAAATACCTTTCTGCTCTAGAGGATTCATTTGCTTCATTTTTTTTAAAGAGTCAAAATTATTTTGATGATTTTTAAAAACTGCTATAATATCTACTAAGAAGTACATATTTTTCGTAGTGCTGTAGTTTTTAAAGCAGTGTTAACTTCTAATGCACTATGTGAAGCTACCAGTAAAAGAGGCTAGTTTGCCCTAATTTAGGAAGCTATTCTAAAATAAGTACAAATTAAAATATATCCATCTGCAAAGCAAAAACCTTTGAGCTCATGCTTTCCAATCCTCTTTTGATCATAAACCATTCCAAGTTTGCAATCTGTATATTCATCATTTTAGTTTCCAACTCAAAACTTTCTGATTCTTCACAATTAGTACTCCTCATAATCAAGAACTTAAAAAGTACATGTTATGTTTGATCTGTTTAGTTAAAACTTTGTAAGAACCTTGCCCCTAAATCCAAAACAAACAAACAAACAAACCTACTTAAAGGAGAAAAATTCTAAATAATAAAAGGCTAATATGCAAATTGATCAAACAGCCAAATGACTGGTCGCTATGACATGCACTGACCACTAGGGGGCAGATGCTCAAAGCAAGAGCTTTCCCCTGGTGGTCAGTGTGTTCCCATAGGGGAGTGCAGCTCAACCAGAAGCCAGGCTCATGGCTGGCAAGTGTAGCAATGGTGGTGGGAGCCTCTCCTGCCTCTGCGGTAGCACTAAAGATGTCCGACGGCCAGCTTTGGCCCACTCCCTGTAGGGCGGGCCTAAGCCAGCAGTCAGACATCCCCCGAGGTTTACTGGACTGCAAGAGGGTGCAGGCTGGGCTGAGGACCCCACCCCCTCAGTGCACAAATTTCATGCACCAGGCCTCTAGTAGTAAACATAAAAAATTCTTAATGGATCCCAACACCATCAGAGAAAATAACCACATCCTCCAGGAACAGTGACAAAATGACACCATATCACTTTCTTTGGAAATGTGCACACGTCAATAGGGTTTTACATAATTAAAGTAGATCCATAAATAGGTAAGATCATTGTCTCCAAAGGAGACCACTATGCATTTAAGTCCTGAGTCAAGTTTAATACCAATAAACCTCTTACAGGAATTAGAGAAACAGGAAAAACTCATACGAGAAAAAGTAAGTGACTTCCTAGTCCTCTGTTCCTACCTAGTGAATTTATGGAAATGATCATAGCTCTTATTCTGGTAACCCATGTTCAGTTAGCTCAGGTCAGTCGGCCTACTGAGCACAAGCTGTCAAATGGTCTGACAGGTTTTCTGGAGTACCTGCTATGTGTAAGGATCCCCAAGAAATACTGGGATCAGTCTGCTAACAGTCTCTTGAGAGAGAGAGATAGTAGACCAATACAGAGACTAACGTGTTACTTAATGAAGTACTTCAAAGTGGATTGAAGGCACACATAGGAAAGAAGCAGGGTAGACTTAACAGAGAATCAGCATCTGAACTAGATGAGGAAACGGTGGTATGGGCACAGGTAGCCTATTTTTGGCTAGTGTAGACAGAAATTCCAGGCAGAGAATGAGGAGTTACAGGAACAATGGTCTGGAAGAAGGAAAAGTAGGAATATTACAGGGCAACTTGAACAGTGATAACAAAAGAGACTGAATGTATAGCAGTGTTTTATAAAATGTTTTGATATCCATTTCTTCAGTTAACTCTCATGACAAGCTCTTGTATTAGGCATAAGTAAATATTATCTCCAATAAACAGATAAAGAAACTGAAGCTCAGAAATATTTAGTGTTTTCTCTGAGTCCTTAAACCTAGTAAGTGGTAAAAAGGAGATGTTAAAACCAGGTTTCACAAGTCTAGGTTCAAGTTTTTCCCCTTACAAAGACGTAGACTGCTTAAGTTCAATTTTTGTAGAATGTCACTGCTTTCCTGTGCCAGGTTTTAAAAAAAACTTTTTTTTAAAAAAAAAAAAAAAAAAAAAAAAAAAAAACGGGAACAAATACAATATTTGTATTTGCATGTGGCCCATGGGCTGTAGTTTGAGGACCCCTTACTCCAAGCTTGGTTTCAACTTAGATATACTCTTTAATGTATCAGTAAACTAGAGCAAATATTATAAAATTCTAGAGGGAACTCAATTACTGAAAAGATGCATAGCAGACCAAAAAAGAGATGCACAGAATATACAGGGAAAAGGTAGCCTCTTTTTCTATTTAAAATAGCAAAGAAAATGACAGTTATATTCCACACTGCCAAGTAAGTAGGAATCAGAAGTACATGAATTTCTTACCTCCTTTCAATTGCACAAATCCTTTCAACATCTGCTCCCCACATTTGGGGAGAATACATGAGGAGAAACCATAAATAGGGATCAAAAAGAAAACGAAATAAAAATAGAATTCTGATACCCAGACATAAATAGCTAAATAAAACCCTAGTGTCTGTTATACATTCTGCAAGACAGATATCATGTTTCATTTAGTTATCAATTATTAAATAGAAAGTAAATTAAGAACCTCAAGACAGTCTATGGGAGACAGGTGTCCTTTAGTTTCTAAATGAAAATTTTACATTACATATCCAGAAAGGTTTTATAACAAAGACCCTACTCAGTCATCATATCCAACTGCCCTTAGTATTTCAGCAATGTCTCCTTCAGCTCTATGGTCATCAGTATACACCTATTCTGGTGAAATTATTAGAATTACACCCTTTTCACTCACACAGTGTTCGAGTTTGACCCACAAATTATTTAATAAATCTGCCACTAAACCTCAGTGGTTAGCCTACTTTGGGAGCTTGAGAGCCTTTGAAACTAAGTTTTTGGAATTCAGAGATGTTAAAAGCATGATAAAATGGATTCTATCAATAGCTCCATAATCCTCTTCTAAATCCCCAGTCTGTCTCCTCCAACTTGCACACAGGGCCAAAATTATCTCTCAAAGATAACTTTGTGGCGCTTTAATGGGGTAACCATACAAAGAAAAGACAAGAAATGCTTTGTGGGTACACTAAAGCCTAATTTGAAATAATGAGGTCTGACCATGGAAACCTGGGAAAACAATAGAAGCAGACATGTCAAGTTAGACTCCAGCAATCACTGACAGGATAAGAAACAATTTGTAGACAAAGCCTGAAAGTGATTTGTAATTGCAGACATTAAGCGTGAACAGTCCTTTCCAAAAAAGCTGTTGGCCCACATGTTAGGCCAAACTCACAATGTACAGATGGGAGGATGGGGATATTCATCAAGTTCCTTCTTTCTCTTTCTCTACTGAAGGTTTCCCATCTAGACAATGATTTTCTGACAGTATTTGCCAACCCTAACAGTCTATATTTTAGAACCTCATAATATGAAAAAGAAAGCTAGTATTTTTAAATATTTGGTGAGAAGGTGCTACTCAAAAGTTAATGAATAAAACACTTAAAAATCATGAACTCCTCTATAGAGTCAATAAAGAAAACAAAATTTGTTGATGATGAGGGAGTGAAGAGGAAAAGATCTCCTTATAAGTCATTCACGGTTTTTACCACATGTAGTTAAAAGTCCTAGAGTCAAGTTAATGGAAAGTGACTCAGCCTTTATGACTCATTAGAAAAATAAAAACCAAAAATGCCCAGTGGAGACTCCCCTGGTATTTGGTCACTGAGGAACTGTATTAGGACTGAACTGAGCATTACACACAAGCCTCCAAAGTTTGGTGGTAAATAAGCCTAGTTCCTTCTGATACAAGTTTCCAAGAAGATGAAGTGACACCTCATTCACGCAAATGTCAATAACACATTCTGAAGAGAGTTGGGAATAACTAACTAATAATAATAACTAAAAATCATAAGCAAACTTTTTTTAAAAACTGAATCTGTTTACTCATGCACATCACTCATCAAACTCCACAGTGTGGCACACTTTTACTTTACATAAGATTTCTACTCAATCAATTTTGAAGGCTCTAGAAATATATATAGAGAGTATAATTTTCTTCTTCTTAAATAAATGTCTATACTTTTATAAGTCACTACAAAAATAAAATATACTATCATAAAAGTTCTATTAACAGTAGTCCCCATCAGCACTACTCAATTAAATAAAACATATAACTGATGCTCACACAGTGATAACTGAAATATCAAAAAAAAAGATTAAATGAGGAATTTTTTTAAATTTCATTGAAAATGGTTTAAAAGAAAACATATTTTGCACAAACAGTGTGTCTCAATGGTTAAATATCAACCTATGAACCAGGAGGACAAGGTTCAATTCCTGGTCAGGGCACGTGCCCTGCTTGTGGGCTCCATCCCTAGTGGGGGGCGGGCAGGAGGCAGTCAATTGATGTTTCCATCTTTCTTCCTCTCCCTTCCTCCCTCAAAAATCAATAAAAACGTATTTTAAAAAGAAAGAAACCATATTTTTCTATAAAGTACCAGAGAGTAAAAATTTAATGTTTGCTAGTCACAGGGTCTCTGCCACAATTATGCATCCAGACTTTGTAGCATGAAAGCAGCCATAAGCAGTATGTACACAAATGACCAAGGACATACTCCAATAAAACTTTACTTGTAGGCACTGACATTTCATATCATTTTCACATGTCACAAAACATTACTCTTCCTCTTTTCAATCATTAAAAAAAGTAAAGACTATTCTCAGCTCACCTGCCTACTTTACAAAAACAAGCAGTGGGTGAGCTGAATTGGAACAAGGGCCATAATTTGCAGATCCCTATTTTAGAGGAACAGTTTTCAATTACTAGAGGGGAAAAATGTCACCCTTTTTTTTTTAAACATTGCCACGGTAAAATGTTAATTTAAAGAAAAAGACCCCAACAATACAAACTGTGGACAAGGATGCAGAGCAGCTTGAGCTCACATACATTGCTGGTGAGAATGCAAAACGGTCAGCCACTTTGAAAAACAGTCTGGCAGATTTTTTTTTAATTTATCTTTATTGTTGAAAGTATTACAGATGTCCCCTTTGTTTTGTTTTGTTTTTCCCCGCATTGACTCTCTTCCCCCCAAGACCTTTACCACACTATTGTCTATGTTCATAAATTACCTGGATAATCTCCCTTCCTACCCCCTACCTTCCACTCCCCCATCCCTGCCCCATCCCAGCCTTCCCTCTGAAATTTGAGCTAAATGTACACTCACCCCTATATCCATTAATCCCACCCCAGGTGCTTACCCAAGAGGAATGAAAACTGTGTTCTCGAAACAAACACAAAACTGTATGCAAATGTTTACATCAACTTTATAACCACCAAAATGTGCAACCAACCACTGAATGCATAAGCAAATTGGCAAACTGTGGTGCAGTCATATACTTAGCAATAAAAAGCAACAAAATTACTATTACAACATAGTATCAAATATATCACACTAAGTGAAAGGAGGCAAACTCAAAAAGCTACTTTTGTATGATCCCATTTACTAGTGTGTGATATTTTTGCACAGGCAAAACTATAGAGCAGAAAACAAATTAGTGGCTGGCACAGGTGGGGGGGGCAGTTTGGGGGCTATGTAACTGTTCTATATATTGACTGTCGTGGTGGTTACAAGACTATTCATTTGTCAACCCCAAAACGATATACTAAGAAGGATGTATTTTTATTGTATGTAAATTATACCTCAATGAATTTGACTAAAAAAGAAAAAGAAAGAAAACAACATTGATTTATAAATAATACTGATTATACAGTTCTAGTTCTAGTTTATAAGAAAGTTTTCAGTGTTTATGCGTGTACAGTTACCAACCAACTGTAATATGCATACCTACATACCATAATGTGTGTATATGTGTGTTTTTTAATGGAAACTAACATTTACTTAGTACCTACAATGTGCTAGACACTGGAATACTTATAAATCTCCCAATTCCCATTTAAAAAATATAGAAAATTAAGGTTCACAGCAGTTAATAACTTGCCTAAAGTCACACAGCTAATAAGTATGTGACTGAACAGTAATGTTCATCAAGTTCTCTTGTCTCAAAATGCTCCCTTAAAATGAGTTTACTTTGAAATTATGCAGCCACTATGGAAGACAGTATGGAGTTTCCTCAAAAAACTGAAAATTGAACTCCCATTTGACCCTGTGATCCCACTTCTAGGAATATATCCCAAGAAACCAGAAACACCAATCAGAAAGGATATATGCACCCCTATGTTCATAGCAGCACAATTCACCATAGCTAAGATCTGGAAAC